CACCACCTCCACCACCAGCACCGGAACCAGTTGTATTTGGAGCGGGAGTCGTGGTCGTACCAGGCGGATCGAGGCTGTTTCCACCAGCAGGAGCTGGAGCTGGCGAGGCAGCCGGAGCTGGCGTCGCAGCAGGTGTTGGAAGCTTCCAGGATCCGACGTGACCAATCGGAGGTGGACGTACAACCGGGGTAGTACTGACAGCTGATGGGGCAGTCTGCGGGGGAACGCGAGGCGTTGCCTGGAACAGACGCTGGGGTTGTTGTGCGTCACCATGAGCTTGAGTTTGCGCAAATTGTACAGCGCGAGCTCGTTCCGTGGGAGTTGTAACGGGCGGTAGCTCGTCAACAACGGGGTCCCTGGGAATTTGCATACTCAGGCGACGAGATCGTTCTTGGAATTCGAGGTCGCTCATACCAAACGTACCGGAAGACCTACGTGTAACACGATAAGGTAGCAGTGTCTGGTCGTTGTAGTTCGTCGTCATGGTGATCTTGTTGTTGTTCTAGTCGTTTTCTCGATGTGTGCTAGCTCGATTTCGACGTCGAAAAACATCACCTTGTTCAGGATCTTTCGGGTGAGATCACGGGGTGTCAGATTGACCAGGAGGTGTCACCAGCTGCAGTTAGCAGCCGTCTCCTGACCCAATCCGATGGCTAGGATCGAGATTGAGCTTGTTCTTCGTGTCAGCAGCGTCATCGACGTACTGCTGTGCGAATAAGAGCTCAGTCAATCTACCCCTTAAACGGTAGTTAGAACAGTCACATCGCCATCTTGATGTGCTGGATACTTCACTCTGAGTTCGAATTTCCAGGAGAAACTCGAGCTCGAAATCCATCCGCTTTACCACGGCGGAGTGGATCAACAACACCATGTTGTGTTGCATCTTCCAAATCGCCATCCGTCCCGTCATTGCAACGCGATGTGGGTGTAAGCGTAGATCACGGCTTCGCCCTGCTCTACACTACGCGATATCTTCACTGCGGAGGATGACGCTCGCTCATAACCTACGAACTGAGGTCGATGTGAAGGATGACATGGTGGGGAGTTCGACGTAAAAGTATGAACTAAAATAGAGGGGAATTACGCTACGAGGTAGATCTTCATTAGGGTTGAGGTTGATCTCGATGTGACAACGCCATCACATCTCACACTTTCGTCTCCTCCATCTCACCAGGTTCAAAGTCAAAGAGGTCAAAGAAGAGCATGGGGGACTCCGTTGCTGTACAGAATCATCGCATTAAAGGCTTCCAACAGGCAGCAATACTCTTGGTAGCAGCAGCGTGCACCCGATTGACCGCAGGATTCGTCAGTAGCATCGAAAGCGTTAAGGTCTTTCAACATGCAATCATCAGCCGAGGAAACCACCAGAACAACTCCAGTTCTGCCACAAGACGCCGCGCTATCTGCCTTGTATGCGACCATTCACGACGTTCCCACGTCCCAGTTGGCCCATCAAACGGAATTGGCCTTGGTGCTATTGATGGATCGTCCCAATCAAAGAATTCTGTTCCAAGTACCCAATACCAAACTCGGTTGGCGCTTTCATTTTGGGTGTCGTCTCATGATACCCAACAACAACAACGACGACAGGAGTAATGATGATACAACAGAACAAGACATGATCAAGACCATCCTACAAGAACATGGCCTGGAAGCAACTGCCATACGACAAGCAGGAACCATGCTCTTTAGCTTTCCCAACCACCACGATCCTATGCGGGTTACGGTGCTGGAAGCAACCATACTAGACACCGACAATAACAAGTCGGGGGGAACTTGGTTCTCTTGGGAAAGTGTACCCTACCAAGACATGTGGGCAGATGATATCCTGTGGCTACCATGGTTCTTGTCTGCAAATGGTTCTTCTAATAATGTCACCTTTGAAGGGCACTTTGTCTTTGATGGAACTCCAGGACCTACCAGTCCGCTCGTTGCGCACAACTGCCAACGAACCGACGCTAATAACGCGAAAGCTACAAGCAACAAATAAATAATCACAACAAAACAAGAGTGGACGCTACAGTATTAGTCTTCAAAACTCCCGTCGGTCAGATCCCAAGGCATCCGTTGCTTCATCATTGGTACTACCCAGCCCAGCCGCTTCCCAGCGTTTCTTTGCCTTATCAACTTGCTTTCTGAATTGAAACGTCGACATCATGGTCGAGCCACTCATTCCAATTCACGTTGAATTCAATGAACAGAAAGTTTTCACCCAGAAAATCTTCCATACTGAAACAGTACTGTTCCCATCGATCTTTATCAATGACTGGTTCAGCGCACTTGTCCGTCGCCGTTGTGCGGTAGCAATCATGGAGCCAGCCCACATAGTACACGCAATCTTTCGGCCGAGTCCCATAAGTACGGGCAAGCTTGACAAACTCTTTCCAGTTTTGTTCTTCGTCCGAAACCTTTTCCCAGGAATCTCTCTTCTCGGCAAACGAGGAAAAGCTTCTTGGAAGACGTTTCTTCAGCTCCTCATCGGTAAAAGGTTTCTTTGAGCCAACTTGGAAGATCTGATCATCTTCAATATGGAATGGCTCCAGACATACAACAATTGCAGGGTTGCCGTCTGAGTGAGGTTCAGGGGAGTTGGGATCATCCGGAAGTGAGCCTTGCCAACAGCAATCAATTGCAAAGTAAAGCGCCCATTTCAACTGGCCCTTGAAACAGTAGACACCCTGGCCAAAATCGTGTTTCACATTGCGAGCAGCGTACGAGTGGTCTAGTCGAAGATTGTCAGCAAAAATTTCTTCCAGTTCTGTGGCAGTGGTACCATGCATAAAGCACTCGTTGAATTTGCACCCATCCAAGACAGTCTGGGTCTGTCTGACTACATCTGCAACACTTCCTTTCTTGAGATTGACTCCCAAGTAGGAGAGGCGTTCATCTCCCCTGTAGTTTTCTTTGATTTTTGTGTCAAAGTCTTCCTTTTTGCCGAATGGATTGTTGACCCCGAGCCTATCAACGAGGCATTTGATAGAAACAAGGGTGGGCGTTTTGCCCTGAACACCAAATTCCTTTTCCAAGTTTCGGATGACCTCGAATCGCTTGCGGACATACATCTCATTCATTCCCAGAGCAATGCAAAAGTCTAGAGCCTCGTTTCATCGATTGGTGAAAGGCGGCAGCATCTTTGCGGTACATCTCATCGACCTTGTTCATCAAAACTTCCCACAAGACATCTTTAATCGGTCGCCTTGGGTTAAGACGATTCAGTTCAGGAAGTAAACCAGGGAAGATGAAGTTAGCTTTGTTCCAGATCTCTTCTCGGCTCAAGAATGGTTTCTTTTCTTCAGCAATGGAAGTTTCGGAGGCAGTGCCTTCATCAACTGGCTGTTGGCCGGAGTGATTCGCGTCAGCCACTGGTACGGGAACAAAGGATCTCAGGGATCTGAGATAAGTATCATCTTTGTCCCCAACAGAGGTGGTATCGTGAGAAGACATGGCCAATTCGCCGTCGGTCTATGGACAGGACGTGTGCTATTGCGTTCAGCTGGTTCCGTGTCCAATAATGAACTGTGCTAGAGCGAAAGAAGCTCTCTCGTTGTCGATTATGATTCGTAGCTTCCTTCGAATTTGTGTGCTTGTTTCGGAGTTTCCAATGCCGAATGCGGTAAACACAGAATAAGCCAGTTGGAGCTGTACACGTGTATTGTTTCCTGGTACGTGTGGCCGTACACCGTCTGCTTCATGCTGTCATCATAGGGGGCAGATCTGGCTATTGTTGGGCCCGACAAGGTGCCAAAAGCAACCGCCGGGAGCGATTGCTAGATGGAAAGAGATACAGTAGCCGGCCAAAGAGCTTATTCACGTGTGGACCATTCATGATATGGTAGTTGGCTGGGATACCCTGGCAGACTGAAGAGACTCGGTTGTACGCATAAGGTCGCTAGCAGCTGTGACGACCATCCAACCTGCTTCGGTATAAGTGCTAGCATAATAAAATGGCGAAAGACCTCGGGGACGATGATTGCGTCTACTACTAGCTAGATCGTGTCACAGGCAAGAGCCTCCAACAGCATCGAAGAAATTGATGCTGGTAGGCTCGCACAAACTACAAGCAGAGACAACATTTGTTTCACAGTTGCGACTATTTTCTTTAACTTTTGGATAGTAACAGTGTACAGAACCCTTCTCTGCCGCTACGATACGTAACCATTGAGTCGCCCGCACAATTCGGTTCAGTTCAAACTCAAACAAACAATAGGGGATACCAGCTCAGACCAGGACCATTCGCAAGCCACATGCTTAGAGAGACACTTCAACAGGGCCCTCGCCTCCAGTGGAATAATCAAACACATACTTGATCTCACATCCATGAGCATACTTGTATGTCTTCATTCCACTGGCAATAAGGCAACCACAGAAGTCAGTCTCAAACTGCTTGTGCATCTTGGGAGCAGAAGGATGAGTCATCTGAGCCTCGAGGAAGGAAAGAGGATCAACAGAGCTGAGCATGGCATCATCATCAGGAGGGCACAAGGCACATCCAGAAAAGTCAACATTGCCCCACACAAGGTACTCCAGAGGCTTGGTTCCAGCAGCATTGGCACGAAGCGAGAACTCATGTTCATCATCCTTGACATCAATCTCCTTGTTGGGCTTGAAAGACTTCATGGAAACTCCCATCTTCTCACCATAGGAGTCCACAAAGCACTTGCTGACAATGGGGGCATGCTTCTCAGAAGGAACATCAACAGCGCCATGAATGAAGATCATGGCACCCATCTCACCAGGCTTGTCTCCAACAGAATCCTTGGCAGGAGGAATGGAGGCAACTGCAGTGGACTCAGAGGAATCCTCAAGAACAGGGCTGTCACCATTGGAATAGTCAAAGACATACTCAATCTTGCATCCATGAGCATGCTTGTAGGTCTTCATTCCACTTTCAACAAGGCAGTCGCAGAAGTCAGTCTCGAACTGCTTGTGCATCTTAGGAGCAGAAGGATGGGTCATCTGTGTCTTGATGAAGTCAAATGGATCAGCAGAGCTGAGCATAGCATCATCATCAGGAGGACACAAGGCACAGCCAGAAAAGTCAACATTGCCCCACACAAGGTACTCCAGAGGCTTCGTTCCAGCAGCAGCATGAAGCGAGAACTCATGTTCATCATCCTTGACATCAATCTCCTTGTGGGGCTTGAAGGACTCCATGGAGTATCCCATCTTCTCACCATAGGAGTCCACAAAGCACTTGCTGACAATGGGAGCATGTTTCTCAGAAGGAACATCAACAGCGCCATGAATGAAGATCAAGGCACCCATCTCACCAGGCTTGTCATCTCCAACAGAATCCTTGGTAGAAGCCACAGAGGCAACAGCAGTGGACTCAGAGGAATCCTCAAGAACAGGGCTGTCACCGTTGGAATAGTCAAATAGATACTTGATCTTGCATCCATGAGCATGCTTGTATGTCTTCATTCCACTGTCAGCAAGGCAGCCACAAAAGTCAGTCTCAAACTGCTTGTGCATTTTAGTAGCAGAAGGATGAGTCATTTGGGTCTTGAGGAAGGAAAGAGGATCCACAGAGCTAAGCATGGCATCATCATCAGGAGGGCACAAGGCGCAGCCAGAAAAGTCAACATTTCCAAACACAAGGTACTCAAGAGGCTTGGTTTTCCCGGCAGTGGCACCAAGGGAGAACTCAGGTTCATTATCCTTGACATCAATCTCCTTGTTGGGCTTGAAAGACTTCATGGAGTATCCCAGCTTCTCACCATAGGAGTCCACAAAGCACTTGCTGACAACGGGTTCATGCTTCTCAGAAGGAACATCAACAGCGCCATGAATGTAAATCATGGCACCAATCTCACCAGGCTTGTCATCTCCAACAGAGTCCATGATAGCAGGTTTCCTGGCGGAAGCGGTAGCAGAATCGGCGACCTGCAAGCTTTCGAGGAGGTTGGCAGCAGCGGCACGGAAGGAGCCACCGCTGACGGCAGGGATGGACGTGGCCACGATGACGGCTAACCTGACAATCTTCATGGTAGTATCTGACGATGCGAGCGAAAAGAAAGATGAAAGGAGTGTTTTGCAAACGAGGCTTCGAGGAGCGCTTTTTGTTTTGGTTTGGAAGGCTTTTTCTGATTGTAGTGGATCAGATTTGTGAGAAAGGAATGAAGCAAAGTGGTTTCGTCCTCTTTTTGTTGGTTCCAGGGGTATCTTTTCTCTGCACTACGTAAGTGAACGGTGCTCTACGTAATCGTAGCTTTCTTCTTTTGGATTTGAGGCGCTTCCAGTAATCACTCGGCGTAGAGGCCTACAGAGATCTTTTGTTCCTGTTTTGTTGTAGGTTCAGGTACTGATCTGTCGTACCAGCCAGCAGGGTTTTGTTGCATCCAGCTATTTAGCTAGATCCTTCTGCCAAGTTGTTGTTGTTCGAGAGAACTCTCAATGCCTGCCTGGCCTGACAACGAAAGTGGACCAGATCTTTTGTTCCGGTTTTCTCGTAGGAGGTCTACCAGTGTTTCCGTAGAGCGCAGCTTCTCTTGTTTGGTTTGAGGAAGAGGTGGCGAGGGAGAGCAGAAGGGAAGAGGAGAGAACCGACCTTTGGCTTCTTATCCGCTACGTAGGTGTACGATCTTTTGTTCCGGTTTTCTTGTAGAAAGTGTACCAGGACGCTCGTAGAGGTTTCGGCCGCTCAATGCTGGCTACATATTGCTAGCTAGCTAGTCTCAGCTTTTTTTGCCAGCCACCTGTGACAAGAGTATTCACTTGTTGCGGTCTTGATCTTGCTTGATGACGAAAGCAGCAATCCCAGCTTGCAGAGATATTCTTTGCGTCTTTTGGCTACCGGTACAGCCCTGCCCTCAGCTTGGATCTTTGGTTCCGGTTTTTGACTGCTTGGGATCGAGAGCAGCCAGCTGAAGGCAGCAACAGTGGCGTTGGACTGCTAGCGACGGGTCTCATATCTCCTTTGAGTACCGTGGCTTCTTTGAAATGATTTGCGAGGAGCAACCTTTTGATGGAGTTCCCTTTTTGGGAGCTGACCTGACCGAGGAAATGGAGCCGGAAGGAACCGAAGGCTACCTCTTGCCTTGTGCTGTAGAAGACCTCCAATGGAGGGACGTTTGTATGGGCACTGATAATGATAGCGATGATGACGAGAATACCAACGGTATGCCGCCAAGACGAAAGTGGGCGATTGGCCTTGATGTGGATGACGAGGAAACCTTGGCCGAAAAGGACACCATGACAGAAAGTGAAGACGGAAAGTAAGAGAAATCCAAGGACACGGAGCCTGTGGAGGCAGAAGGTCCTCTTCAAGACAGCCACTGAAGTCAATCAACGCCGGCGACCCTTTCCATCAGAGTTTTCGTCGCTTTGCACTTTCAGGAAAGTGCCAACAGCAGCGCCCACTACAACCTGATAGCTACCACCAGCTAGGTTTCAAGATAAGAATAGAACAGTAGATTGCAACTAGGACGCAGCCTATGACAGAAAACAATCCACCACCAGAGGCCAGTGACTGCGTAGGCGGCATCTGTATGTGTGGTGTAGCAGTGCTCTGAAAGTACCCACTTTTTGCTTGTTTGTGCTCTTGTACTATTGGTATCAAACATCAATCCCCGCCGCCGCTAGCGCTTCCCTTACCCACACTGGAATGTCTTGACCTCCACTATTATTCTTTTCGGCCCCGCCACGAAACTGATCGTGGACAAAGTCCCGTGCAAAGGCATCAAATTTGTCTTGCAGTATGGCTTGTCGCATTTGCCGCACCAACGACATCATGTAGGCAATGTTATGCTGCGTCAGCAGTTGAATGGCCAGCGGATGCTCCGTCTTGAGTAAGCGATGCAGTCGAGCCCGCGATACTTTGTGGACACCAGCACAAGCTTGACAGGGACATCCTTCTTGCAGGACGTTATGGTCAGTGGCACAGTCATGACTCTTGAGCCGCAACGTCCCTGGCGTCGGACCCGGAACCAACGCCACTCCAAATCGAGCGGTTCGTGTCGGATAGACACAATCGTACATGTCCACTCCCAGTGCCGAACAAACGACGAGATCGAGTGGATATCCCACACCCATCAAATAGCGCGGTTTGTTGTCGGGTAATGCCTTGCAGCATTGATCCACCACTCTCCAAAAATCATCTTTGGATTCTCCACCGGCCAATCCACCAATGGCATATCCCGGTGCATTGGCAATGCCGTCCAATTCGCGTCGTCGAAATCCCGCCAAACACCGTTCGCGCAATCCACCCGGCGATGTATCCAAGCCTCCTTGGACAATGGGAAAGAGGTTTTGACAGTGGGACTTTTGATGCGCCTGCAAGCAGCGATCGTACCATCGCAACGTCCGGTATGTGGCCATTTCAAAACGATCCGCATCGACTTCGACACTGGAAACAACATCGTCCAGTGCCATGATGATATTGGCTCCAATCTCATTTTGATACCTTATCGAATCTTCTGGTTTGAGTAGCATCATTCGTTTATCTTTGTTGTTGTTGTCCTCCTCTGAAACATTAGTATCATCTGTAGGTGCTTCATCTTGAATTGTCGTTGTTGTCGAATTTTTCTTGCCATAATATCGCTTGCCGTGATCTCCTTTTTGGGGGTGCAGAAATGGATTCTCAAAGGTCACTCCCTCCTCAGTGACTTGCGACAACTTGGCCAAGGATACCATTTGAAATCCGCCCGAATCGGTCAGTAGATTGAAATTGTATTCCTTGCTTGTCTCATTGTTAATATTATTTCCCATGAAACAATGAAGTCCGCCAAATTCATCCAATAATTCCGTGCCGGGTTGGAGTGCCATATGATACGTATTGGCCAGAATAATGGGACACGATAGGGCCGGATCAGTGGTGAGTTCGTGCATGGAAAGACCCTTGAGACATCCCTTGGTACCGACGGGCATGAAAATGGGAGTTGGCACGGGCCTGGTGGTTTGACCCTTGTGAGGCTTCAAGTGAATCGTACAGGCTCGAGCACGGCCACTCACGGCGTGTATGTAATGGCACAGCGCCGGAGAGGAATCGTCAAAGACGGGAGGGGTGTCCACGGGAACGGTCGAAACAGGGGGTGCCGGAGTATTATCATTGTCGGAAATGTATGGGAAACACTTGCCCCATCGAATGGGCCGCGAAAAATCCACATTCTTCAACTCATCTGGAAGCCGTGAGAAATCATGGGGCTCTTCGACGCGTTGCTTCTTGGGGACAGGACCCTCTGCCTTCTCCTCCTCGTTTCCTCCCATGCTTCCTTGGTCTCTATCTTATGCTTGGCTTGGTTGTTTACGGTGTTGGGGTTGTGGAATGGATGGTGGTGGGGATTGGAGTGTTCAGACGTGCATTGCAAAAAGATTTGGGAAAAAAGATTCCTTTTCTTAGGTACCACTTTACGGTACGGTACTGAAAAGGCTTAATCAGTTTCAATCCATAAAACTGACCTCACAAATTCATTCCACCCGCATCTGGCAGGAAAGCCAAGCAACTGGCAAAGGAACAATGATCTACATTTCTTTGCAGGGTCCTGCCCACCCTTGGGAGCAGACATATTACTAGCTACCAGAAGTTGAGAGAAGAGGGCTCTCTTTCCTAGTATAAGTTAGTTGGCGTTGCCATACTAGCCAGAGCTACCGTACGATATTGTCGCAAAAGCAGATTGAATAGTCCGATTAGAAATAAGTGAGAAACAACAAACATGAGAGACCACGTCGAGATGTGGGCCCTGCTGGGGTTTTCGTTGCTCAATATCAGCTATCTGAGAGCACCGAGTGTGCTGCATCAATGGATCGAAAGCATTGCGAGTCAAAATTCCCGACATCTGCGAGAAAACAACATCAACCACAAACGAGGAGCTCAGTATGAAATCACCACCACCAACTATGGCTGGAACACTCCGGCTGATTTGAACTTTAGTCGCCGCATCGTCACGAGTGAATTCTTCAATGCCACCAAGCAACATTCGCATTACAATGCATCCGCATGGGCCGACTTGGAAGCAAATCCCGATCCCAATCGAACGCTGGTAGTGTATTTGGATGTCGACTCGTGTTTTGACTTTCTCTACCCCAAATACGTCGGCAACAAGTGGTGGGTCAATGCCGAAGGAGAAGCGTGGGGACGACACAGTGGCGGCGGATACAAGAAACCCATTCAACAATCGTGTCAGTACATTTGGCGGGCGGCACAATCCCCAGCGCTGACGGCCAACCCCAAGTCTCGATTGGTGGTACTCAATTGTTTTGGTTTTCGCAAGGACAATCTCAAGCAAATCTGTGGCCGTCAAGACGGACAGTTTTCCAAGGACATTGTGCAAAACAACCATCAAGTCGTCTTTGCCAGTTACAGTGAAACCAAGTCTAACGCACGCCCAAATCATGACTTGGGATTGGCGCCTCCGGCCGTCAAACCGGTCGATCTCACGGCACAGGATCGAGCTGACATTGAAGATTGTCGTCCACGAAAGTTCCTCTTTTCCTTTCAAGGGAGGGGTGGATATGGACGTGAGAAACTGGCTGAAGCAGCCATTAATCATACGGATGACATGTTTGTGAGACTGGCACATCAAAAGGATTACGCAGATGATCGCATGAATAGAAACGTGGATACTCTTGGGTACCGCGAGTTGCTGCTCAACTCAACCTTTGGTGGGACGCCCAAAGGAGACTCCTTGTACTCCTATCGATTCACCGAGACAATGTCAGCAGGGACCATCCCGGTTGTGTATGCCGATGATTGGTTGCCACCATTCAATGAACATGTTGTTCGGTGGGAAGATGCTGCAGTGTTTATTGAAGAAAAGGACGCACTCAGGACAAGAGAGATTCTAAAAGCCATTCCAAAGGAGCGTGTTTGTGAAATGCAAAAGTATGTCTTGCACGTCTATGACACCTACTTGGCCAATCGAGCAGGGTGGGTGCGGGGGCTGACCAAGGCAGCACTTGCACAAAGCAACATTACATTGAATGAGATGGATCAGTGAAGAGAGCAGATACATGGCCCTTCAATGAGTGCATTTGTAAATAGTAAAGAACAAGACAACAAGGAAAACCTGTAGTTGCTCCTGTTTTGCTTTGGCATCAGAGAAGCATAGACGGCTCACAAGCATATTGCAAGGGACCATTCCACAATTGAACGCATGTCTCCATAGCTTGAGCACATTCAGCCCGACGGGGGTTCAATGAACCACCTCTTCCAACCCGACTTTCATGGTTGCTCAAAGCAACTTCAATGCTTTCTCTGGCCTGCGCTCCTCATCCATCCGTGTGCGCTTTCTACGTCGGGTATCGGCTCGTTTCTGCGTGGAATCTCCCGCCGCGACGCTCCATTGTGCTGGTGTTTCACGCAAGAGGCCGTAAAGGAGGCTTACATCCCCGGCGATTGGATACTCCCTTGCGTAGTATTGGCCTTCTTCGGAGCCCTCAATCACTTGTTGAAGACGCGAGACGAATTGCTCCAGCGAAAGTTGCATTTGGCGAACCTCTCCGCGGCCCAAATGATTCAGTTCCAGGTAATAGTATATACTCGAATAGCCCCATGGGCACGCTGATGATTCAGGAGTAAAGTTCGAACCATTGCACGAGAAGTGAAGCAAGGTAGTGTTGTGATCCCCCAGTAATGCCGCTAGTCTTTCGAAGTGCTGTTTGTAGCTATTGTCGAGTTCCACATTGAGAGTTGTCAAGGTTGTGTTGGTTTTCAGTCCCTCACAGATGGAAGTCAAATCCACAGGGCAACCTGTGACATGGATCTTCAATAGGCTTGGTCTATGGTTGGAAAGTTTTGACAGAGCATCTGCCGCAACACGCCCGCAAGTCTGAAGCTGGAGGTGGTCGATTTTGAGTTCTTTCAGTGTCGGCACGTTTTCCAGTCGCCCCAAGACAACCGCAATCGAAGATTCACTCTGAAATGCAGCACCCCACATCGTCAAACAGGTCAACCGAGTGAGTCCATAGGACAATACCTCCTGGGTTGTCAATGGATCCTCTGCCATCCATTCGCACTTGACCAAATCCATACGTTCAGGGGCACAGCGAAATAATGACACCAGCAGAGTATCATTTCCCCTCAGCACAAAATAACAGAGCTCCAAATCTTGAAGAGTCCAATTGGACTGCATGCCACGGACAAGAGCGTTCAACATCATTGCAGAACCGGTCCGGGCAGGCTCGCTCGTTCCAGCATGCAGCGCGAGTCTTTTCACGGACCTGTTCTCAGCTACAAAGGACTCAAAAGCCTTGAGTGTTTCTTCGGTGGGAATATCATCTGCCATTGTCACGTTTAGATAACCGATGGATTTATTCTTTTCCAATGCAGTGAACAAGAGTCTCAAGGCCTCCGGCTGAGGAGCTGTGCGGGTTCCCACATGGAGCGTTGCTAATTTTGCGAGTACAGCAGGGTTTGTCAACCCCAAGGCTGCGGTGATATCAAGCCCCTTTAGATTCAGGTCTCTATTCCACCCAAGGTCCACGAATCTGCTTGCCAGATAAGGAATGGCTCTGTGGACATTTTTCTCTACTGCCAGCATGAACACAGTTGTCATGAGATTATGCGACCTGATGCCTGCGCTGAATGGGCCAATCAGTAGGGTCAAAACTTCTTGGATGGATTCTTCATTGTTGTTGCTCAATAGATTGTCTTGATCATTTTTATCCTGTGCCCAGCATCGCAGGACAAAGTGATGGATGGGCAAGCGGTTCAATTGGTCGGGTAGATTGTGCCGAGTTGTGCGCTGAATGTTATAGGGTGTTTCATATTGCACAAGGAGAGAAATTATTTCCTTTGATGTTCGAGGAGAAATGCAGGCAACGTGGAGAGGATTGATTTCCTTATTTCGGTTGGTAACAGCTTGACGTTGATCCAAGTTCTGCTTTCGGTAGATCGACTTGATCGACGCAAGATCCCCCCCTGCGAAAATTAAGTGACAAAGTGGAGACAGACTCAAGTTCATCCTCCTGCCACTTCTAGTTTTACCAACGTAATCATACTTGTTCCAACCAGCGGGCCTCCATGGAAAGGAAAAGAGAGTCTCCCTCAAGCTGTCGTGTGATTCGAGAATCTTGAGGAATCGCCGAACCAACTCTTTGTTCCGGCCCCACTCAATGCTTGAAGCAAATATACTGGAGAGCTCTTCTGAAGCATCTCTTTTGGTGGAAGGTACTTGCCAATCGTCTTCACCATGACTGGTGTTGCTATTTCCAACAGAGATTTGGTTCATCTTGTTGTTGTTGGAACCACAAACGGGATGTTGGCTGGTGGCTGGTGGCACGTTGGCCCGAAGTCGATGGTGATGTTCTGTCAGTTATCCACACCGTGGTCCGTGGAACGTGGAGGACGAAAATTTCATTGCGGTACCCAATGTACTACATCGTTGTACCCTGCTAATGTGCTGTGTTCTGGCGTATCCTAGGTGCCTCAACCAGCTGGAATGACCAAATAGATGCACATCCCTTGCCGTTGCTCATTTTCTGTCTGTGGAACCAAACAAGCGAAAGAAGGTGAGCCTTCGCCTCGTTTTCATTGACTGTGGTGTGTCGGCTCCAGCTATTGAAGGAACTCAGTTGCCAAGGGTTTGAAACCCAGACAAACCCTCCAGAAATGGATTCACAATCTTCAGAGAAAGTTGCTGAAGCAGCAATGAACCTAGTTCAGGCTGTGACATCCACAGTTGGAGCATCGCAACTATCGTTGCAAAACACCACCAATCAGCACCTTGCCGATGTGAAGAAGACCCTTGGGACTCTTCAGGATGGCATGGCAACTGAATCCAAGTCTGTAATGAAGGCCATCGAGGAGCTAGGAAGCAAAACTAGCTCACTCGAGAAAGCCGTCACCGAGGAAGCCAAAGCAGTTTGTGAAGCAGACAAGATGCGGCGCCTTGAGTTTGCCCTTCAGAACATATCGATTGTTGCCAAAGACTTCATAATCAAATATGCACAAGACAATGGGCAACCTTCTTCAGGCTACCACAGCTACAGGTACTCGTCAAGAAGCGAAAATGCAGAGACCCTCTTCAGAGATATTCTGCTAGCGTTTCGGCGGAATCTTGGATACTACATCACCAACTACTACAGTGTGGTACCGTCTGGCTCCTACGATGAGGGTCGTTTTAAAAGCACAATCAACCAGGAGTGGTGCAAGGCGTTTCAAGACAAGCTTGTGCTCAAGCTTCACTCATTGCTCGGGAAGAAGCCAGTGATTACCACAGACAATGGAGGCCGTATAATCATTTCGTATGAGTAAGAAGTGCGTATGAGTAAGAAGTGCGAGGGCCTCCAGCATCAGGATCTTCCTGTTTCTGAATAGACGATACCAGTAACCGTTTTGTTGTGCAGTGCCTATCGAGTGGACAGTCATTACTTTTGAGGCAATGACAATGCAGCACTTTCAGTTTGTGACGATCAAGTTTATTCTACATGTAATCAATCAACTAGCTAGTTGTAAAGTGCAGATTCTGCATTGGTTGGTTGGTTAACTTGCCTCCGGTTTTGACAGGGTTGGATAACACAGGATGCCGAAACAGAGCCCATCCATTGCATTGCCGCCACCTAGGACCGGCTACTACATCCATTGCATACCAGTCACTTTCACTTTCCTGGAAGATCCTGATGTTGCGGCACTCCCAGGCGAGTGTACTATACCTTTCCATCTTGTGCCAACCTTGTTGAGCCTCGAGGCGACTGGTGCAAGATAAACATCCACGCCGTGGAACGTAGAAGAGTTTTGTACCGTGCTGCTGATTCGATCCTCAACTTTCTCGCACGTGGAGTGGAATCAGAACAAGAGCGCTCAAGAGAGAGTGACGAGTCGAGCCAGCTGCCGAGCGTTGCCCACTCTCACTGTTTTCCCACTGATTGCCAGCTTGAAATTCAAAAATGCATTCAGGTTTTCGTGCACCGTTGCTCAGCTTTGTGCTGGAAGTGCTCGTAACAAATCTTGAAAGGATGGGAATGTTGTACTAGTAAATCAGTCAAAAGGTAAGAGCAGAGACGTGAAAAGCGATTCTGAGAGCATTTCTTCGGCAGCATTGTGTGTACCGGTATTTCTCAGGTCATTCTCAGGTACCAGTTTCTGCAGCACGGCAGTCTTCACAGGACGGATCCAAATTCTATCCGTACCGAAAAGATCGCGCGAGCGGCTGCAAACTTGGTTCGTGCTGTTGGGTCTCTGTCTTTGGTTGGCTCGAAGCATTTATCGTCGCAAGCAACAACCAATGAACACCTGGCTAGCAGCAACGAGCATCTGGTTGACGTGAATGCTGGCCTCGAGACTGTCAGCCACCATGTGGAGGGTGGCAAGCAAGCGTTGCTCGACGCTGTGAAGGAACTATCAAATAAGGTTGAGAATCTTGAGAAGAGCAATCGAGAGGAAAGCAGAAAGCTCCAGTTGTGCGTTCATCAGGAGTTCAAATCCTCGCGTGAAGCCGCTGCAGAAGCCGACAAGATCAGGCGAATTGAGTTTGGACTTCACAACATTGAGCTGACACGACTATTCTATCCGGGGATAATTGCGGGCAGAAATCCTTTTGCTGCAGATGATTTGTAAACGGGTTGATTCGAAGTGTCTGCTTATTGACATCCTCTTCAGCTTTTGGAAAGGAGATGGTTTTAATGTTGCAAAGTACGTAATCCCCACCAATAATGGAGGCCTTGCTCCTCACCAGATTTGTTAAATCCCTGATGCCAATATGAGTGAGGCGTTCGAAAGGTTTCGAGATACTGTTGTGGATAGTATTCATTCTCTACTTGGCCTGAAACCAAGAATTGAAAAATACGATGACGACCGAGTCTTCATCTATTACAGCTGCGAAGAACAGGATCCACGTGGTCTGGCCCTTTGCTCGTCGAATGTCGGGCACAGTCTCAGTGGAGCATCCTGATCGCAACTCTGCTATTTCCATCAGAAGTCTCACCTAAGCTTACCCTTACCAGCAGCAACTTACTTGTTTTAAACCATTGTTCCATCGTCTACTGACAGTACTAGCTAGGTGTTGTGGCCTCTTCCAGCATCAACCAGCACTACTCGAGTTCATTCAATCTCCGAGTTCCTTCCAACCCGTCTCCACGATGCATTGATCGTGGAAGTTCAATGTACAGAGCTCAGAACCAGTTCTGCCAACGTCACCACGGAACTTTGGATTCTTGGGAATTCAGAATCGTCATCCATACCGCGACGACACAATGACGCCCATCGTCCACAACCCATCATCTATCAATCTTTGTTTCATTGGCAACGGCTCTCTGTGGGTGTTGTTATCATCTCAGTGGTACGGTACCGGTGGTAGCAACAATAGAGGAAGCTTACTGTAGTAGTTTGACGGAAGCAGAGGAGAAGAGACAAGTCCAATAGAGCCACAGATGGTTCAGTAGAGTTACTGGTCTGAATATCCATAATATCTTTTTTTCTCCTGGATACCCGTGATCCATCCATCAATCAACATGGCGAGCCGATTACTGCTGTCAAGGACGCCTTGGCATGGCAGTACTAAGATACATGCCGCCATTCGACCATCAGCCAGTCTCTTATTCAACAATGCGAGCCCTTGTAGTGGTGCTTTGGGTAGTTCCTTGGGGACAGATACCAGTATGATTGCTGCCAACAATCGGTGTTACTATTCTACAGCGACCAAAACCACATCTTTGGGTGTCAATAGTACAATGCAGAGTTCTGATTGGAACTCTTTAGGCAGGAAAGACTCCAGCATGATTGCGGCCAATAATCGAAGAAATCTAAGCGGCATGAAGGATGAATATGGCGAAATGACGTCGGATGGAGACACCTATGTGCATCCAACCCCCTTGACGCTGGAAAATGGTCAAGTGCTTCCAGAGGCACAGTTACGGTACCAAACCTATGGAGAATTGAATGAAGCACGTGACAACGTAGTGGTGATCTGTCATGCATTGACGGGAAACGCCAGCTTGGAAGCATGGTGGGGCGACCTTTTGGGACCTGGCAAGGCATTTGATACCGATCGTTATCTGGTAGTATGCAGCAATATCTTGGGCAGTTGCTATGGAAGCACCTGTCCAACATCCATCAATCCGTCCACGGGAAAGCCCTATTTACAAGACTTTCCCGACGTGAGTGTCCAAGATACCGTCCGTCTGCAGCTCTACATGCTGGTCAATGCCCTAAAGGTCCAATCCATCAAGTCTGTTATTGGAGGCAGTTTTGGAGGCATGCAGGCCATGGAATTTGCCGTGCAAGGAGGAAGCAGTCCGTCGAGTCCCATTGCCAGTGACTGTTTCTTTGCTGCAAACGAGAAACCCCTTGTCCGAACGGTCATACCTATTGCCTGTGGAGCGGCTCATACAGCTTGGCAGATTGCCATTTCCGAAACGCAGCGTCAAGCCATTTATGCCGATCCCAACTGGGAATCCAACCCCCTCCAAGCTAACGGGGGCTTGTCGGTAGCCCGTCAAATTGGAATGGTCAGCTACCGTACGGCAAAAGGTTACAGCCAAAAGTTTGGACGCAACATGCAAGATGGACAATCCACGGCTCAGTATGGGAGCTCGGCAGGTTGGAAAGTCAAGAGTTATTTGGAATACCAGGGCGAAAAGTTTCTCTCGCGGTTTGATCCCATTACCTATGTCAAAATGACGGAACAAATGGATTCTCATGACGTGGCCCGTGGCCGTGGTGATTCGTTAAAGGATGTGTTGGATCATGTCGAAATTCCTGCCTTGGTTCTGGGAATTGATAGTGATGTCCTGTATCCTCTACAGGAACAACAGGAGCTAGTCGATTACTTGCCCAATTCGGAACTGAAAATCGTTCATTCGGACGATGGTCATGATGGATTCTTGTTGGAACAGGAACAGGTGGCAAATCACATTTCGAATTTCTTGAAGCAACACGACTAATAACGATCTAATGGCATTTTGTAGGATATGTGTTGCCCTGAAACGGCCGAGGAAATTCTTCGGTTTAGAGTGGCCAGCCCAATAGAAATCGCTCATCGATGCTTGTATTGAAGACCGGCGACGAGTACCATCCACCTCATTGAACGACAACAGGCCAGTCTACAAATACAAATTTAGCAATTCCAGCGAGGGCTTTCCTTGGAATAGCGGTATGTGCGAGCTGGTGAACTGGCGTGAGGATGCTTGTGGTTTGGGGCGCGGGAGAACAGAGGGACGGCAGAAAGAATGCCAAATCGTTACTTCGCCTTTGTACTACCTGGTAGATTGTACCGGTAGCATGCGATCAAGAGACCCGGGGATGTACCGGTAGTACGACTATATAGTGAGCAGTGATCGGCGGTGCATTTTGTACGTCTTGGCACCGTACCTTGGGCTGCCACCATCTTACCCGAGTGTCGTTTGTATTCTGGCCGGAAAAATCGTAAGATGACAAACTGAAAAGTAATGTAGCCTTGTGAGGAGAAAGAAGGAAATTCTTTCGAGCAGGCAGCTAGCTACCGGTAGCTAGTAAAGTGTTGTGCGACTTGCAAGTTGGTGATTACAACATCGAGCCCACTACTCCAAGCGCGACTTTGTTGGCACAGCTGTTTGGCTGCTGTGCTCCCGCTGCCACCGGTGCCGTACATCCTCAAAACCACAGCTGATGGATCCATCATCCAAGCCGAGGAGATAGTCTCTAGCTAGCTAGAGCTAGTAGTAGGCTACTGGCTAGCTAGTAGCTCCAAAAATCAATCACACTTCTCGGGGAAACCACTCTTGCGGGACCACTGAGCCCTGAGCACCGTGCGGACCTTGCGATCGGTAAAACACCATGCAATCCGATATCGCCTGTAAGCTCGCGTAGACACCGGTACCGTCCAAACCGTACAAGTCATCAAATTACCATGCAATCTGCGACTGATCGAAGGCGTTTTATGCACAGACCCCCGGACCTTGCTTGTGCCAGTCGGAAAACAGCATTCGAAGAGGCAAGGTGTACCACGCTGCAATACAAACATCAGATTCGATTTACTGCTCAGAGCAACAGGTCCTGTCGAATTCATTCCTTTATCATGTCCATGCATCTCTTCTTTCTGTCTCACAAATCAAAAAGAACCAAACAAAGAAAACATCCATTGCAAAGAAACCCCACTAATCGGTACCATGACAACCAACCAAACCATCGACGTCACTGATCTTCAGTATCAAGCGTCCAAATCTTTTTTGCCTGACAAGGAATCGCTTTGGAAGTTTCCTCAAGAACATGATGGATGGGTTCATGCACACAATGCTATTCGTGGCGAGATGCAGACCATTGAAGACTGCTTTCGAGTCATCCAGAGTAGATCCAAAAAGCAACCACAGCTTCAAAACTGGGAGGCGGCCGCTCTCCGAACAGTGTTTGATGCCCATGTAAATTTTGTGCACGTGCACCACACAAACGAAGACGACATTATTACCCCCTGGCTAGCCACCCGCGTGAACCTTCCGTCCAAGCTCACAGATGATCATGCACATATCGTGAGAGATATGAAATCCATTCAAACCAGGATCCATGGGCTCAAGGGAGGCGACAACAGAGATACCTCCATGGCTGCATTGTTGACGCTTTGGAAACCGTACACGGTTACTATGCGGGAACATTTGCAAGAAGAAGAAGACATTGGGCTTCCATTGTTGCGAGCTTACTTCACGCCCAAGGAGCTCCTCAGGACCGTCATGAAACTTTCCAAAAAGGAATCTTCGAACCCACTCGTCACTGGCACTTTCGTCCATCACATGGGAAAAGATCACTGCCGCAAGGAATTCATGAAAGAGCACGATGTTCCGTCCTTTGTTTGGTACATCGCATTCGCTAGACCATTGAAGATGTACGAGAAGCAAGTTGTTTCTGTCGTCAAGGCCATTCATGTTGGCGTGGAACCTGTGCCCGTCAAGAGAGGCGGACTCTGGTGTTGTTAGAGCTGATGGATTGATTGGAACATCAGCATGCGCTCACCGCTGCAGACATCAGCGGCTCTTGACTGCCACTACTACTATCTAGAATGTAACAAACTAGCTTTTAAGTTAACAAAGAAGCAGCTGCCAGGCAACCAAAGCTTCTGAGAGTCTGCGGCTGAGTACCGGTATTTGACCACAGCTTCGGTTCACATCTGCGATGGCACATCTACGGGCGCTGCAGAGGCAACTAACATTCTGCTTCGTCTGGCAGAAAACAAATCTCGCTCTCATCATCGGAATCACCCCGTGTGCCATCCTCGAAGCGTGCTGCTTCTTTGGATTTGAGTTCTGGATCAGCAAGAGCTGCTTCGTCGTGATGATGCAATATAACAGTATCCATGGGCCCAAGCGGAAAGCAAATCTCCCTTTCTTCATCGGAATCGGTCAGTGGACCATCCTCAAGACGTGTTTCCTTGGATTCAAGCTCTGGATCGGCAACTTTGACCAGTCCACTATCATGATCGCGATCCTGAATGACAACACGAACATTCATGGGTCTGGCAATACCAACATCCATTGGCCCCAGCATGGGTCCAGCAGGCCGAAATGGCCATCGCATGAAGAAGAATTGATGAATGAGAAGAAGGGGCGTCACCACATGCAGTGAGAACCAATGGATCAGGGTATGCTCCGTAAACTCTTCAGAATATAGAGGATCAGCTGCCACCATTAGATCATAGATGGGTGCCAACATGGTTCGACACAACCATATCCAAAAGAATGGGAAGATGACTTGTGACAACACAAAAGAATACAACCCACGGAGTGGCTGGCGGATCTTGTGGTAGGGCCAGAAGTCAAATGCCACTGTATGAAACAGAGATCCACAGATTTGAGATGTGCCAACGGCCTCTGCATAAAAGGCTTGGTCCACACCAGCAGCAATGACAAGTTGATAGGTAGCCACTCCGAGACCAAGAGACATCACCAACAGCAATATTGGCAAGAATGGATATGGGAGATTTTCAAGGGGACTTCCAGAAAAGCCCTGAAAGACCATGTTGCTGGCAAAGCATTGGACCCAAACAGTAATGCTGACAAGTTGTCCAAAGACGTAACCTGCGAGGATGGGCCCATGTGGGTTGGATGGATCATCATGTGCAGGTCCTTCAAAATCCATAATTTGAAAGATCATCACTGACAACAAGATAATTATGAGTGAGTTGATGGCAATGTTCACAGGGGGAGATGAATGTGATGGGATGAGAGGCCTTGGAAGGGTTTGAATGTTGAAAACCCACCACAATGAAATGTAGAAGAGGCAAATGCCAAACCAGGCACCTCCAGGGAACAAAGGGTATCCAGGATAGACATTGGCGAAGAATGCCGACAAAGCTGTTGATATTCCAATCACTAGGCCTGTCATGGTAAGACCTAGCAGGATACGACGGTGGCCTCTCCAATATGCCTTGCCATAGTCACCGAATGGTGCTGTCAGTGGCCATCCTCCAACAATTCCAAACATGATCAAATAATGAAGCAGCCAAAAACTCCAGGGAACATAAGTCTCAACGGCCCATTTGGGGTTGGCACTCATGGTGGAGTAGGAGAGTATCCAAGCAATGACTAGGATAACAAGGAACCTCACAATTTGATCTCCAATGGGTAGGATTTCCATGGTTGCACCTGTTTTCTTGGACATCTTGAGGGTTGGCTTCAGGTCTTCGATTGTACTCTCAAGGGGGGTGGTCCTACACACTCTTGCTCGTATCTATCGATAACAGTTTTCGAGAACAATGATGTGATTGCAGAAAAAAATTGTGGTTGTGATGTGAGCGGGGAGCGGGGGGAGAAATAATTGGAGAGGTTTCGGTTGAACGCGGTCTGGGCTTGCAAGAGAGAAAAGTACCAGTGCTCTATTCAGCGGCGGTGAAAGAAAGCGGGCAAGCTGGAAGGTCCAGAACCAGACTGCAATCCTTTTTTGACAGTTTCTCAAATGAGAAAGTACCGGTAGTTTCTCATTTGAGAAACTAAGCTCTGAAATGAGAAAGTTAGTTTTTCATTTCGTCGAAATGAGAAACTATCTTTTGAAATGAGAAACTATACATGAAACTGATAGTACATGTGTGGTGATTTCTGCCAGAAATGAGAAACTATTTTTTCAAATGAGAAACTAAAACTGTTAGTTTCTCAATTTGAGAAACTAAAAATGAGAAACTAAAATTTGAAAATAAGAAACTAAAACTGTTTGAAAAATTTCAAAACATCATCCGTGTTTCCGGAGCTTGCTGGCTAGCCGAAAATTTGAAATAGGTTCGTTGAATCGTCGTAGCGGTATAGCGCCCACCTTCCCAGACAGGGAATGAAGAGATTCTACAGAACGGAGAGTATGAGTTAACAGGGAGCCGACCATAAGGGAGACTGACGGACAGGAATCCGGGAGAGCCATCATCCAAGGATGAGGTGTGGACCGAAGTGTCGGGTGCACAGGTGGTGTGCCTATGTGGTGTTGATGACTAGCTAGAAGGACTACTAATCGGGCGGCTACAAATCAGGTTCACTTTTTCTGAACCAGAGTTGCAGCCGCCCGACACCAATTTTCCTTTTTGACTGGGGGTAATTAGTGTGAGCGTCCGCAACCTGAAAAAGTATCTGCTGCCCGACAGTGACCGCCTCCCTCGCCAAACCTTACTCTGAAGAAAAGTAAGCATGGACTTAGAGTTTGATGACGCCAGCGGCGGGTCACACAGTGTGACTTCCTTAGGGTCCGGTGTCGGAGATGGCGGCGTTTTGCACACCGGCCGAGTGGTGTGCAAGGAGGTGTTTTGTCGAGCCCGATTCGTCATGAAAGGTACCGTCTATGTTTGTTTCAGTGACCGTGTATCGAGTGTAACCGAGCCGGTCACCGAGGAGCTACTCGGTCCAACCAGGTGGGGTACTCCTTTGAAGGGGTGCTTAGACGCAATGACAAATACTTTGACGGAATCGCTAGTACCGCCTTGTCCCCACGAAACGAAAAAGCCGTTCTTCAAGAAAGAGCGAGCTGAGGACGAAGCAGCGCTCCATGAAGGACCCGCCGAACGCTCTCCCGGGATCACGGTGGAAACCGTGAACATGGGATCGCCTGACGCAAACGAGCTTTTTCGAGTGGAAGCACCAAGGGACGTGGAGGGTCGATCTCCTTCGAAGGCGAAGAAGCCCCCGGCCTCGCCGGACCTTCTCGAGCGATACCGCGGATCTTTAGCACCCCCATCCCGGGTCATCAGAAGATCGCTGCCCGCAAGAAAACACCCGAAGGCTCGCTGAACGAGGCAGAGAGAGCCCGAAAGATCTCGGAGCTGGCCGCCCAGGAACGAGCTAAGGAGGAAGTCGCCCAAGAAGAAAAGCGGCTCGCGGCAGCAAACTATGAGCAAGAACGAGCCACTGAGATGGCCGTCCAGAAGCTCCTACGTGAACACGAGGCAGCCGGAGCACAACGAGCGAAGGCCGCTGAGGCCGCCAAATACAAGCAGGAAAGCAGAGGTTCAGCGACGCGTTGAACAAGCCCTGGCCGCCAAGGCTCGCCAGGAAGGACTCCGAGATAGGCACCCGGGGACAGGCGACGGTACGGCTCCGCCGACACCCAGCTTCTCCCCTGGAGTACCATCCAGTCCAACCAGCCGCTCTTTGGTACGGGTATGTGAACGGGGTCAATGGAGCATACGGAGTGGTCAACGAACAGCGCAAGATGCAGCCATTCGCCAGCGATAGGATTCTTGCCTGTGCCCGCAGCACGGCTGCCGAAGCCTGGGAGTGGGTGAGTGCCGAACTCGCCCATACAGCTGACAACGCCCCGGCCCCCGACGAGATCCGGCGATGGAAGTCCCTGAGCCCGCCAATAGTCGAGTGGTACGCAATCCAGCCGGCCCACCCACCATGCTCGCCGGAAAGGACCCGTCTACCAAGGACAAGGATGCGATCTACAACATCCCCATCAAGGAGGGCACGGCAGTTCTCGCGAAAGGTTTGGCCCCAGAAGGAATCAGTCCGCGAACGGCCAAAACATTGGCAACACCATGCTAGATGTATTGTCCCTACCAGGTAAGACACAGACCGGTGAACGCGACGATGTAACCAGCGAAATCAGAGATTCTCTCTTCGCCGCCGTCAGTCGCCAAACTGTCGACGACGAGGAGGTGCCCCCCGACCTCAAGTGGCAGCAGCCTTCCAGAAATCAGTCTCAGCCTGCAAGAACGACGAAGACCTACGGGAACTCAAGCGAGATGTGGAAGAAGTGGAGGAACAACACCTTTGTCCGGTCCATCGAGCAACAACGCACCATCCTCGTCAGGAACGACTACCCTCTGAGCCTCGCCGACACCTGGAGTAGCGAGGGATTTATGGCCACACTCAACCGCAAGGGAATCAAGTATTACAAAGCCTTCCTTGACCATCTCATCAGCTGTCGTCCGGCCAAGGATGGAACGCCACCACCACGGTCATCGAATACTATGTGAAGAAGTGGCGCATCATTCGGGCCAATTGCCATTCCCGGCTCCTAGCCCTATGCCAACTTTATGTCACCTCCGCGATGGATATGAAAAGCGACTGGCTGCACCTCAAGCTCACGGACAAGAAAGTGAACTCCCTGCTCACGCAGACTGGAGGAGCAGAAGGTGCCCGGAACGGAGGAGCTGTCCCTCGCGGAATCGCCCTCTGCCAGAAGTGCGAGACCATCCTCCACGGCGGGACCGGCTGCCCCTGGACTGCCCTACGTGGAAATGCGGCAAAACAGGCAGGCAAGGAAGCCCTACGTCGTTTGGCAGCTGGTGAAGCAGCACCTCCGCCCGAATAAGGAAGAAACGCCACCTTACCGCAGAGCCCGTAGGGGCCCAGAATACTATATATGTTCAGAAAGAAGTCTTCAAGTGTACGAACCGCCGCGCGACGGTCACAAGCACTTGAGCTGACTACAACACGTGACGACCGAAGATCCACAACTTCACGTCAGCAATGAGCTCTTGGTTCCAGCCGAGAGACAATTTGGAAGGGGGACAGAAGGCAATCTGACAAGTTCGCTAACAATTACCACCCGTTATGTTACTTAATGCCTTTCTCGTTGTCGTTCTACACCACACGTAGGTGAGTCAGAACGATTTGTACGAGCAGAGGATATCCTACTGTGCTTCCCCGCGCATCCTTCCACCCCTCCTCAAGAGGAACAAAATTCGATATGGAACCATCGGCACGGCCTGGATTTGGCCCGTTTGGTATGGGAGGAGAAAACCACGTTTTCTCATGCCAGACATCATGTACAGTCACCGCTTTCTAAGCGGCCCAAGACCAAAGAAGTCAAGCACTCCAACGTCAGAAGAAGACTTCCTCAACTCCCAAAGACTAGACGCATTACATAGTGGACGAAGGCTGCGCAAACAACGCAAGGAGGTTCTGACGCAGTTAAAACACTGTCAGGATACCGGGAAGCCAAAGTCGATCATCTTCGCTGGTCCGGTGAGCCGAGGATACGACACCCAAGACGCCTATGGCGGAAAGGACGCCGCAAAGACCTTGAACGGATGGCTACGTCGGGCAGGAATGGTACCTAGGAGGACACAAACAAGGAGGCGCTGTGGTACAGGAACGCCTCATGGAAGTCTTCAGCCTGCCTCCCTAGAAAGAACCTGCCAAGACCCAACACACCAAGGGCTCCCCCCAGGGAAATGAGCAAACCTTACTCTTACCATTGGATATCCCGATCGAGATCGAGCCAAACTTCGTCAGATCTCCAAGCTCCCAAGCCCCACCACCTACCAAGAACACTACCAGCTCTATGGACATGTCCAGAACCTACCCATCTACGACGGAACCGGGTGCATGCCCGACAGCGTCGGGCGATGGGTGTTTGATGGGAGTCGGGTCCGGAAGCTACAGCTAGACGAGTTGGCCAAGGGCAAAGGAGTCCCTGGGGAATGGCGCGACAAGTCCCTGGAGTTGCCCTACAAGGCCGTGGTGGGAGCCACCGCCGTACACATCTGGACCGTGGTCTGCGACGCTGTGGCCGGGTGGCTCATCCCCACGCCCAAAGACGGCACGACCTCCTCCAGAGAAACCGACTCAGACACAGTGACGACGGCCGCCGAAACCTGGGCCGACGACGAAGATGAAGATGAAGACTGGGACTACACCCTACCGGATCTCAGCGAAGGAGGGGAGTGGTACCAGGATCGCGTCGAGTCCCTGCGACAGGCTACCCAAGACCTACCCGACCAGGAAGAAGCTTACCAAGACGGACTCGAAGCACTGAAGATTCATAGAGACAACTACTCCCCAGCCGGGCCAAAATACCTCCAAGTACTATGGTGGGAATTCCCCCCGGAGCACCAAGAGGCGGTACGCCGGGGATCCTCTATGCGTTTCCTGGTG